TCTGCTTCCTGTTCTCTTCCTGTTCTCTTCCTGTTCTCTGCTTCCTGTTCTCTTCCTGTTCTCTTCCTGTTCTCTGCTTCCTGTTCTCCTCCTGCAGGACGACGTGGCCTTGACGAGTTCTGATCCAGACCAATAAATCTGTAAAATCATCAGATGAAAGCTGAAGCTGATTAGGATGCAGGACCTGGAACATCCTCCGAGTGTTCCAGCAGCTGGACAGGGATCCTGAGCAGATTAATCGTCTTCCATCAGTAACTGTGGAACCGGATTATTAGCTAGAAGACACCGGGCTCACAGCCAGAACATATAAGTGGGCTGAAGAGGGGCGATGACTTTCAAGTGCAGCTCTTTAGCTTCCTGAATTTTAAGAGGAGGGTCTGGTGAATAGAGAAGGAACTGTGAGACGTAGGGTGAACACTGAGCTGAAGGAATCAGCTGAAGCTTCATGAAGAACAAATTCACTTAGTTATTAAAACTAAAACTAGCAGAACAGAAGCTAAAATCTGCAAAACCATAGCTGGAAAGGTAATTGTAACAACAACGTAGCTAAAAGCTAACAACAGGAAAACCCCTGTCAAAAGCTAAATGTAGTAAAACAAAAGCTAAAATGAGCCAAACTATAACCTTACTGGCACAAAAATAGCTAAATGCTGAAATTTGCAAAGCCATAGTTCAAAATGCCAACTAGTAAAAATCACAGCTAAAAGCTAAATGCAGCTAAATGCAAAGATGAGCAAAAACACAGGGACCAGCTAAAATCAGCAAAATCATAGCTACAAGCTAGATGTAGCAAAACACTAGGTAATAACATGAAAAACAAAACAGTAGCTAAAAGCTAAAACTACCAAGTCAGTGGGTAAAAACTACAAGCATTAGACAACAAATTAAAGTAAACTTCAGAGAACAATGTTTTTGTAGAAAATAAAGAAATCAACATATTTTTTAAAACATTATTTTGTAAATAAAGTTAAATAATTTTAAAGAAAATGTTAAAAAAAACTAAAAGTCATATCTCACCATCCCTGACTGAGCCAAACATTTGATACAGAAGTAGTTTGATTTAAAAATGTACTAAAGAAACAAACAGTAAAACAACTGAGTGACTGCTGAGAATAATGACAGTATTCTGTGCAGAAACTTGTTACCTACAAACAAACAAACAAACAAACAAACAAACAAACAAACAAACAAACAAACAGCATAGAGTTTCTGTAGGTAACCAGTTTTAACCCATTCTTTCTGTCGACTGTACCTTCTGTGTGACAGCAGCAGCAGGAGCTTCAGGCTTAAAAAACAAACAAACAAACAAACAAACAAACAAACAAATAAACAAACAAACAAACAGAATAAAATTCACACGAAAATGAAACACTAAAACATGTCAAACTGCAAACAAACATACAAAAAAAAGAAGACAAATAAAAACATTTTATTCAGGTTTCTTTTGTCAGGTAGACAATAATTTAAACTTTTGTTTTTGTTTAACAAAAATAAACGTGTTTACATGTTTATTATAAAAATTTAATATAAAAATTTATTTAAAATTTATATAAATACAGTATTTATTTTCAGTGTCCTTTTTGTCCTGTTTTAGTTGTGATGTCAGAATAATCTCTCACCTGTAAATATATTGATCCTGATCGTCTAACTTGAGTTTTTAAGTTAAGAAACTCTGGAGCGTTTCTATTTCAACTATTTTACACAACTTGTTTAACAATTTAATGTTAGCTTCTGCTAATTTTCTTTTTACAGGTTTGAAAGTTTAGAGTTAGTGAAGATATATTTTAGTTGGTTGATTATGTGTTAGTAGTTATGAGCTGTTCATGTTAGCATCCGCCAAGTCTTTTTACATGTTTAACAGTTTAGCTTTAGCAAAGCTATAATTTAAAGAGTAACTTACCCCAAAATTAACTTTTTTTTAGCTGATAAACTGTCTAGAATGTGTCTAAAATGTTATATAGTACTGTTTCTGTGCTAATTTTGATGTTTTTGTGCGTATTTGTTCAAATCTGTAATATTTGGTCTAAAAACGTGTTTTTGCTGCTCATATGGGTAGAGCAGTGGTACTGCAGGCTAATTTACATATTGGTTAACGGCTCTCCACGGTGACGTGTCTTCTCCACGGTTTCGTCACAGCGGCTGTGTTCTGGTATAAAAGCCTCTCTCTAAGACACGCCCCTGCAGCAGTCAGAGGGTGGAACAGTTAGCAAGCTTAGCATGATCGTCTGTTGACCTTCAGCCTCGGGTGGGGAGAGCTGACTGCTGCGCTGCTCTCTCCACACACACACACACACACACACACACACACACACACACACACACACACACACACACACACACACACACACACACACACACACACACACACACACACACACACACACACACACACACACACCAGCAGTACATCCTGCACAGCGGGAGGGGAGGAGGGGAAAGAAAGGCAGTGGGGCAGCTGCAGCCCGAACCCACACGTCAACTTGTACAGATTGTAAGTTATAAGGATTTGACATCATTTTGCAGGTATACGGACATATAGAGCAATCTCACGGATTTTTTCAAGTCTTACGGATATTTTAAAAACCTCATTTTCAAATTTATCTAACATGTCAGAGCCTATAGGATGATTTAAAAAACAATAACTAACGTCAAACAGCCATCTTCCAACCTGTTCTGCCGCTAGAAATAAGTTACTTTTTCCTCTCTCCTTTCCTCCTGCTTCGCAGCTGACCCCCCCGCGGGTGCGAGTTGTATGGACTTTTTGCAAAATTTATGGATTTTTAGGGCTCTTTATACAGATAAACGTCCAAAGAGGTTGAAATGTATGCGAACCGGACCGAACTTCAGTCAAACAAGACCCAACACTTTTATTCCTGATTTAAACTAGCGATCTTGTGAGCAGCTGCAGCTGTTTGCTTT